AAGGCCAAAAAGAGACCTAGAAAAGGAGACCTCAAAAATAGGTCTATAATAAGAGACCTCATGGGGTCGCTATTTGAATTAATATTTTTTAAATTTTTAATCTAATTCTCATAAAATTAGAGACCTCACGAGGTCTGTACTTGTTAAATTAAAAATAATAATTTAATTTAATTAAAGACTTACAAAATGAGAGACCTCATGAGGTCTCTTAAACAAAAGAAAACCCTAGCCAAATTTATCTAACTCTTTCTTCCCTCTCTCTTTCTCATCGTTCCTCTCTCTCTCTGTCTCTCTCATCGTTCCCTCTCTATTTACATATGTATATACATACATACATACCGACACACACACACACACACACACACACACACATATATATATATATATATACACACACATATGTATATACATACATACATACATATATACATGTATATATGTACTAGGCAGGGATGGCCCGTGCTTGCGTGTCTAATACCACACATAGATATATATACATAGATGGATATGCAAATTTACAAACAAGAGGTGCACATCCACGTAGAAGAGTGACCACATTAGCAGTAATGATAGTTGTTTTATGGATAATTTAGAACTAATCCATTTGGAAAAGAACATTCCAAAATATATTAATAAATGACACTCCATTAGATCAAACCTGAAACTTTTAAGTTGTGATAGCTCATTCATTGTGCAAGATGATAACAAATAGAGTCACTGATGTCTAAAGTACACTAATATTTTTACAATTTGATTATTAAAGGATGAAATTTTCTTATAATATCCAGTTGCAGGTCATACCCTATATCTTTGCACACAAGATAGAAAAATAAAAAATCCAGAGAGTTCATTGACAACCTTCCCAACTCTCGCTTTGGTTGTGAGAGAAAGGAAGGGGCTGATCTGATAGTGCGTACTGGTGTCGATGCATTACTCCTTGCTTTCGGAGCTGAAAAGAGAGTGTGAAATAAATGAAACCAATTGAATAAAAGATACGTATATTGGCCTAATCGCCACGTTTTCTAGATGGTGCTTGAATTTTGGTAAGTGTGTGCACATGCACTATTCATCCGATGTTTTTCCAAAGGCCAAGAGGTCAACATAAACTACTTCAATGTGCACATTCTTGTGAACCAACGTTGTCGGCTTGTGCATATAATTTATCGACAAGACAATATTAAAACACACAAAAGATACTCTTTAGGCATAATAACTAAAAACAGAACAATCATTAGTGCAATAGATAATACATTAACGATTTCATTAGTACTCTTCATTGAACAAGTGACTAAAGAGGGAGGATAGTAAATTAATAATATATTGAAGCATGCAAGATCTAATGTCACGACCCAAATCGGAGCCGCGACTAGCACCCACACTTACCCTCCTATGTGAGCGAACCAACCAATCTAAACCTTAACATTTCAATATAATATCAACATAAAGTAATGCGGAATACTTAAACTCATTAATAAAAACCAATTCAATAACTTCTAAAATTCAACATCTATTATTCCCCAAAATCTGAAAGTCATCACCACAAGAACATCTATCATCAAATTACTAAACTAAGAATATCTAAGAAACTAAAATACATAAAAAGCTAGTCCATGCCGGAACTTCAAGGCATCAAGACATGAAGAGGAAGATCCAGTCCAAGCTAGAAGCATTAGCTCACCCTGATATCCGGAGTAATGAAGACTGACTAGAGTTACGGTTGAGTTGAAGACGACGGTCCGTTTGCTGCACTCCACAATTAACAAAGAAGAAAACATAAAAGTAGGGGTCAGTACAAACACAAGTACTGAGTAGGTATCATCGGCCAACTCAAAATAGAAAACAGTATATATCAAGTAATATCATAAATCGACTACAATACTCAACATGTAGCAACAACAAGTACTATAATCATTACCAAGTACCACCAAGTTCACACATGAGGACTCAAGCCTCAGTACCATACTCATTTGGGAATTAGATTCATTAGATTGAGTATATTAATATCTTTCGAGATTCATTATCTTTATTCCTCTTGTGTCGGTACGTGACACTCCAATCCCCTACTACTATGTGTCAGAACGTGACACTCCGATCCCCTAATTCTACGTGTCGGTTCGTGACACCCGATCCCCTAAATCTACGTGTCGGTTCGTGACACCCGATCCACTAAATCTACGTGTCGGTTTGTGACACACGATCCCCTAAATCTACGTATCGGTTCGTGACACCCGATCCCCTAATTCTATGTGTCAGTTCGTGACACCCGCCCCACTAATCTCATTCTATTAATTCATCAAGCCTTCTTTCTTACCAAGGCATCATCAATCTCATTACTTTAGTTCATCAAGCCTTCTTTTATACCAAGGCATCATCATTAACAAAGAGATTAGGTTTTTATCAAGATTTGGGATTCAATAGCTTCATCATGCTTATTTGATCACAATCATATAATCACATTCATGCAAGCATATAATTAAGCATATAGCAGGGTTTACAATACTACCAATACATATCATTCACTATTAAGAGTTTACTACGAATAACATAAAAATCATAACCTACCTCCACCGAAGATTAGTGATCAAGCAAGCAATTTTCCAAGCTTTGTTTCTTCTTCTTCCTCGTTCGACTCTCTCTCTCTCTTTGTTCTTTCTATTTTCTTTATTCAAACCCTCTTTCTTTTACCCTAATTAGCATATAATTAAGAATAAAAGATGGCAATAATAACCCACTAATTAACTTAAGGTTACCTCTTTTAACCCCCAAGTAATTAGACTTATTATTATTAACCTACTTTATTTATAATTAAAGCAGGTTTTAGTCCAAAACGTCCCTTAAAACATTTAATAAAATCCGATCCAGACTGGGATTACGCAGTCTGTGATGGCCCGTCGTGCCTGCGACGGTCCGTCCTGCTGCTCCGTCACAGAGTTCAGAGAATCAATTTCCTTGAAGAGTCTATGACGGTCCGTCGTGCCCACGACGGTCCGAAGTTCAGAGAGTCGATTCCAGTACCCATATTTCAGAATTTCTAAGTGTTTTGAAACGAGGCACCCTCGACGGTCCGTCGTGCCCATGACGGTCCGTCGTGGGGTCCGTCATCAGTCTCAGTTTTCCAGAAATAAAATCTGCTGCTCAAAACGACTAAACAGGTCGTTACATCTAAGTACATTGTGAACGTTTTAGGTTGTACCTGATATCAATTTCTCAAAAATAGGCAGTAAAAGTGTACGCCATCAACAACATAAGTGTATGCCATCAACATCTTCAAAAATGTATAATATATTTCACTGGTAACAAAAATAAAAATGATAGGTGGGGAAATAGAGTCTTGACAAATGCATGTAGTTTAGTTAATAAGTTCATGTATGACTTATAGATCACGAGTTTGAGTCGTGAAAGCAATCAGTAATGCTTTGATTAGGATAAGCCATTTACATCACACCATAAAACCGTTCACAGATACTTTACGCATGGAACTACTAGTTAATATTCAAATATATATACTCCATACTGCATACTAATCAATAGGCAGTAATTTAAGTTGCAAATATAGAAGCAACTTCTAAAATGTGTTGCGACTCCAACAAATTACTACTAAATTTATTCAATGTTTGTGAGAGATGGAGGGTTTGAAAACTATACAAGAAGAGCTGAATTTCATTATTTACATATTAATTAGAAGCATATATGATTAGAGCTGATATAAGTGTTAAAAATCATACATAGTTATTAACTCACATCGAAGCATTAGATAATACACTACTCATGCACTACTGAATTAGGAAGAGAGTGAGTGCTACAACAAGCAGTGTCACATAATCTCAACTTGCCACTTTTACTCTAACCTTGTTTCACATGATTATATAAGCTATTATCATATTTAGAGATTTAATATTAGATATAATTTGTGGATGCATATTATTTATATTTAAGTGGAAAAGTCCTGTAGTCTTATTGACATAACTATAAACTACAGAGAAATATTAGCAATAGGTAACAAAAATGAACCCTTTCCACAATCATAGTCACCTCCTACACCATATCCTTAGATGATAGACTTAAAAATAATAGAATATCTCACCAAAACAACTGAAATTCAGTTCAAAACAAATATGCTATAAGAACAACAACTATGTAACAACACCTCCACTGTATTTCCTATACAAGTTGGTATTATCTTGGTGCATTAAAAAAATATAAAGTATTGGAAGCTCTCCCATTTCATTGAGGTCTCAGTTATCATTAACATATCTATTTGCATATCACAATATCATATATCAAGTAAAATAAATAAGATACAGAGCTTTAGGAGATAGAGATTTAGAGCTCATAATCTGGTGCCAACACCTAGATTATGTAAATTTGATTTATTTAGAAGATTTTACTGTCTACAAAACTCAAAACATTAGAAATAATAACAAGTAGTTCACTAAATGCCAATTTGTTAATCTCAAAATGAATTATTGTTCTTGATCATACCTTTCTAGTCAGCATGAGATTCAAAATATTATCACATCATTATCTGCAAAATTCAATGAAGATAGACAAGTGATACAAGTACTATCTAATTCATGATCCTTTCAACAATGATATATTCACGTTGAGGTTATGATTCCACCATAATTTCTCCACAAATTAGTGAAATGATGAAATATGAAAGGATTATAATTATTCTAGAGTCCTCCTTTATATTAGTTGTAGCAAAGATCAGACTCGATCCAACTTCTCAATCAATTGTGACCACTTCGTGTATGTGCCTATTTCTCGTAGCTCTGCTCCTATCCCAAAACCATTCACCCTCATATGATCCTATTGTGTTTGTAAGTTCATTTTTCTTTTTGTAATTATAATTTTACAGTTATACTAAGTAATTACATTTAAGGATGCAAAAATATATTCTCTTATATCTATCCGTGTATGGAACACAACATATAAATAGTATACAATACCAACCGTAATTTTCTTGAGTAGTCCCCATAGCTATAGACTATAGTCATATTTCCTCGCTTTAATTCAACTTTATTGTGACCTTGCACCAAATGATTGCTAAATAATAAATTTTATGTTGTTTAACTAGTAATGATGCTTATACAATTCAACAAGTACTTGACTAGCGATAGAATGAGAAAAAAGACGTTGGTTGTGGCGATTGAAGAACTATATAGAGATGCAGGTGCGCCTGTTAACATGCCCAAATTTTGTATGAAATGTTGTTTATTCCCTTCATATATCTTTTATTTGTTTTTATTTTTCCTAATTTTGCTTTTGATTATTCAATAAAAAGCTCAAGAATCTATGAGAACTTGCAAGATAGGTGATAGGGCCAGGGTAGTGCCTTATGGTGAAAGAAATTTGGTGCCATGACATGTTTGTTGTCAATCAAATACTCAAAGTGGATCTGAAAACTATGGTTTGCTAATATTCTCTACTGAACTCAATGAAGATAGAGAAAACTAATACACAACGAAAAGGGAGATCAAAATAAAAGGCGGAAGAAAACATTGACGGACATACCCGTAGATGACATTCTCGTAGAGTAGTTGTATATCCTTAACTTCACACTGCAAGTGAAAATAATTTCAGAACTTTAATGCAATGAGATGAAGAAACTCCAAGCTAAACCCATAAAAATGAAAGATTAAAATTTATAAACCTAGAAAGTTGATTCACTTGGAATCAAATCCTTAGTAAAAAAAATTTCAGTTAATTACACCATAAACCCATATGAACAAAAAAAAATTTAAAAGAATAAATAAGAAAGAGGAACAAATTAATTACAGCAAGTGATAAAAAAAGCTTTGAAATGCAATAAATAGTATCCTGAAAATGAATGTTTAACCAGAAAGAACAAAACTTAATGCTTTACCTATAGGGTTTTATCCCTCCAAAACAAAGACTACTGGAAATTAAAAACTTGTATTAACAACTTGTATAAATGACTTTTCAATGGAGATGCAACTACGAATTTTTTTTCGCCTTTCAGTTGTTAATATGATCTCTTATTTTAAAGATGGAAATGGAGACAAAAAAAAAGTTGTTGACCACACCTTTCACTACTTCTCAAATTGCTCTACTACTGGTGTGAAAAGGCACAATAAGTTCATCTGCATCCTGCAAATCAACTTTCAAGAAGAAAGCACACCACCAAAAATCAAAACCTAATAATAAAAATAGAAATTCTAGCACTGAATAATTCAACATGTTCAGTTTACATAATTCATAGCAAAATCGACCAACTACATGAAGTTGACATGGAATTACTATGCAAGTACCGAACAACAACAAAAAAGTACTATACTATATAAGCTTATGTTTTATTAGCAGCTAACATTGAAGCTAAGACTATGTTGCAGTCTATTTGCTTGGCATCTCTACTTTACTCTCCAAAACTCCAAGACTCCATTAACGGCAATTCAAAAATCCACAACACTACCCTACTCCATTCGAGCACAAACAAGTTGTTGTCTTTCTCATCAAAACCAATAAATCTCTCACTACTCTTACTTTATGGGTTATCTTATATCTTGTTCAATGTTCACCTAATGAATATAATTTGTGTCTCAGAATTCTAGGTGCGTTGTTGAAAGTGTAGAGTTGGGTGAATCTATTTTTGTACCTGAGATGTCGGTAGACACTGCTCCATTAGTCTCTGTGAACGTGATGTCCAACGAGAGTATTAAGGAAGAAGAAAACAATGGCATGATCCATGCTCAATCTGCTGATGCTGTTGAAGAAGAAAACAATGGTCTGTCCCCTCAATCATCAAATGAACTTCTAAAGCAAAATGTTGCATCTGCTGAAAAAATTGGATTATCAGACTCGAATGAAACAGGAACAGTTTCTTCATCCAACCCCAATGAATTACTGGATGTTCCCCAAGTAACAGTTCCAAGAGAAACTGAGGATCAAGTTTATTTTGCTTGTCCTAAGGTACATTTGCTTTTTTGTGTGTTTTATTTGGTAGCAGCTTTTTGATAGAATTGTTAGTTGTACTTGAGAATAGTCTTGTTATACTAATATTCGGTTAATTTTCCAGCACTGCAATGCTGAGTGCAGTTTTTCTCAGTTGTTAAGAGATGAATTGTTTGAAAATGTGGAGGAGCTTAAGGTAGCAATTCTAAGTCTTAAAGAAGATATTGAGAAGACACTAGATAAGCTGGAATCTATTTCATATTGAGCAAGCTGATTATCAATATGTTAATTTTCATGTTCTAGTCTTATTTTGTTGTTAATCTTATTGTTATCCTTCTGTTTACTTTTTTAGTGATGCATTGAGTTTCGTATGAATGAATACTTCTCCTTTTTCTGTCTTTATTTTTAATTATGACCTTAAGATAACACAACTCTTCATCAGACAATCAGAAAAAAGGTCAACAATATAAAATAGAATAGGGGAAGCATAATGACCCAATCGAAACTAAAGAACTACCTTCAGCAACATTTCTTAAACAATTATTCCATATAACAACTTCTTATTGATCAAAGCTTAATCTCCCAAAAGTTTAAAAAGACCAATTAATTAATGCATGTGAAAAACACAGAAAAATTTGAATCTGAACAGTTTTTCGACAATCTAAAATAGAACAGGGGAAGCATAAGGACCCAATCGAAATTGAAGACACAACTATTAAAATTATTTGAACTTCCAAAAGACAAGAATAATTCAACATCTATAACAAACCTAAATGGAAAAATAAGCAAGCATTCACATACCCTAATTAAATTTGGGACTTGGACTTTGACGAAAAGAAAGATGGCAACAATACAAAGATACAAAATTGAAACATGAAAGAACCTTACCTGGAGAATGCTGATGCACAGATGGTGGAGCATAAATGAAGAAGATACAGATACAGAGAGAGTAGAGTAATGTGTACATTGGCAACATAGGAGGAAGACACGTAGGGAATTGAGAAGAGAGAATTGATGACACGGAAGAAGACACGTACTCTTAATAGAGAACTGAAAAGACACAAATACCCCTAAAAGCAATGAAACAGACATGTTGAAACATGCCTTTTCTAATATAAGAGAATATATATATATATATATATATATATATATGTATGTATGTATGTATACATATACATGTATATATATATATATATACACGTGTATATATGTATATATACACATGTATATATATATACATATATATATACATGTGTATATATACATATATATATATATATATACATGTATATATATATATATATATATTATATA